TAGCTGCTCATTCTAGTTCTTACCTCTCTGTTCTCGCAGTGCCAGCTTCCCCCTGTGTGTCTCAGTCTAAATTTCCACCTTGTCCTAAGGGTGCTAGTGACTGAATTTAGGAAATGCTCTAATCTGCCATGACCTCATCTGAATTTGATTACATCGACAAAGATTCTGTTTCAGATAAGGTCACATTTGTGTGTGTACAGAGTTAAAACTTGCACTGATTTTTATACAGAGACATAATCAGCCTATAATACCACCATAACCAAGTATCAAGGTTAGCATCACCAGGAACAAAACACAGCAACCTTGTGTTTGCCCTGTGATAGGTGTACTTAGGGAGTTTGCAACTATAGCTAGCAGAAACGTACAGTCGGCAGTTTGCATCTGCCACATGAAATATATGTCCTTGGACCTCAGCTTGCCTATAGAGTGGGGATGATTCTGTCAGCTGTCTCGTAGAATGTTCTAAAGATGTCATAAGCAAACCCATTTAAAGCTCTTAGCCTGCCACAGATTGTAATTTCCTAATAAATAATGGCTCTTATGCAGAGATTTATCATTATTGTATTATAAGCTCATTTTCTAATTTTTCTGGTGGAAGAAAACATAAGTATCTTGCCTAAGATTACACAGGAAGTGTGAGGACAAGGTCTGTATGGATAGATAAGTAAAACAGATTTCATTCTCAACCATTTTGTTAGAAAACCATTAACATAGGAGAAGAAATCTGTAGGAATGGGTCTATTGGAGGGAAGACTTGTGACATAGAAGGAAGCAGGAAAAGTGGGTCAAAGAGAGACTCTGAGAGGTTGGGGAAGGCCTTGACAATAGGTGTCAAAGGAGGTGAGAACATAAGAGTGTATGTGGTGCCCTGCAAGTTTTAAAGGTGAGAATCCGGAACATGAACTGTCCATGGATATGAATTACCCTATGGCACTTGAGGGAGGGAGAGTGGTACAGTCAACTCAGTTGCATCCTGATGAGCCTCGATTGCAGAGAGGCAGAGAAGATATGAGACTCTGAGAGGGATGGAGTTGGGGAAAGCAAAGCACAATCACAAATTAAAACCAATACGGCGGAAACAGAAGATGCGCATCTGTGGGCAGTCTGCTCTTAAAGGCGCCATCCTTTCTCTGTGTTTTTAGAATAAATCAGAATTAACCTCTGCTCAATCGTTCCATGGTAGAGTTGAGTGATCTGGACCTGTAGATTGGTCTGCTAACGAGAGTGAATTAAGAAACCAGCCAGCCAGCCCACAGAATAAAGCAGACACAGGAGGCCAGATGGCCCGGCTAAGGGTTGTCGTTGGGTTTGTCCATCTTTAAATGTGAATTTGCTCTTCCCAAATGGACCTTTCTCTAGTCTAGTCTGTATTTGTTGAAAGTAACTGAAATTTGGAATTATGTTTCCATTTTACCAGGTTCTTTCCACTCTGGGTGATGTTTGTATGTGAAGTATTTTGACAAGGGATTACAGCTAGAACTGCATATTAAGTGCCCCCCTGTGCCTGGCACCCAGCATTGACCTCTACCAACCCGTGGCCAGTTCTGCCTCTTGCCCATCATCCCCTTTCTTCAACCTCAGAATATTTTGAAGTAAATCCCAGATAACCTTTTTATGTGTCCTTGATTCATATCTATTAATTATTAGTGAAAGAGTAAATGCAATAGGACACTCACAATAGGAATATGTCAAATATATTCTTTGCCCTACTCGAGGGAAGGTATGAAAACCAAGCTTAGGCTTTCTGTTGGAGCCTAATGATAATGAGGTTGTGGGAGAAGGCAGGCCTGGGACTGGTGTCTGTGTGTGTCATGGTAGAAAGGCCGAGGCGGAGGCCCGCTGAATGGGGGACATGAGTGATCAGGAAGCTGTGGCCTACATGTAAAGTACAGCACACTTCTCTGGGTCTCCAGTGGATAAGAATAGTTTCTATGTCTTCTATTGGTTAAAACCAAATTAGAAGAATAGCGAATTTATGATTTGAGAAGTATATGAAGCTTGAATTTTAGTGTCCATGAATAAAATTATGATGACATGTAGCCCCACTCATTTGTTTGCACATTGTTTGGAGCTCATAGCAGGTCCTCATAGTTGAACTCTTTCTGCCTGACTCTTTACAGGAAATGTTAGGCATGCCCTGGTTATATAGCATGGACTTTGGAGTCAGCCTTCCATAGTTTAAATCCTGACCACCATTTTCCAGCGCAGTGACTTGAAGCAAGTTCACCACTCCATGCCTCACTTTTCCCCTTTTAATGTGGGTATCATAATAACAGCTGATTTGATGGGATGTTAGAAAAAGGATTTGTGTAAATATCTGTAAAGCACTTGAGTGTATGACAGTATTGGGTCCTATTTATCTGTACCAAAAGTTTTCAGTCACTGTAGGATTGCAACTTGCTTTTTCATTTGAGGGTGGGGAAAACCACCTGCAGGGTTCCTAGGAGTGTCCACAGAGAGCACTGTGAGTGTGTTTTCCAGCACGTTCTCTGGCACACAGGTGGAGCTCTGCAGAAACTTCATTGGTATTTCCAACCATTGTGAAGACTTGGACGCAACCCCATTAACTACCTCCTGGACAAAAGCGTTTGCTGGCACAGTCATCTCTTGCTTCTCCTTTACTCCTGGCCCAAGGTAGAGCAGCTGAGAGCCACACTACCCTGCAGTACAATCCTTGAAGTCACTGTGCCAGTGGCTGCACCTGCAACCCATTCTGGCCTGTGTTTCTTGTGGCTCAGAGAATGTTGAGTCTCGAGGGCAGCTGCCAAAGTGACGTGAGCAATCTTTTGACTGCTCCCAACCCTTCTGTTGCTGTAAGACTAGAGTGCAAGGGGGATGAGTGAGGAGTTCCTGTCTGCTGTATCTTTTTCCATTAGACTATTTTTTGAGGACTTAAAAATTCTACTAGATAATATTGATATAATTAGCATTTTCTTGAATAAGCCTGTTTCAGTTTTTACCAACTGGTGGAAAAAATGACAAGAAGTTTGAAAAAAAATCATTGTTATGCCCTAGAGAGGTAATATTAAAATCCATCTAAGGTAAAAACTCATTAAAAATGAAATGACACAAGTGCTTTCTTCCCTTTTCGTTCATTGTTAAACACAATAGTTTAAATTGCTGAATCAATTCTTTTATGAAAACATAGGACCTCTTTACCTACCTTTTGTTTTAAAAGATTTTTTTTTTATTTGAAAGGCAGATTTTACAGAGAATGAGGGACAGATAGACAAATTTTCCACCTGTTGGTTTGCTTCCCAGATGGCCACAGAGTCCAGAGCTGAGCCGATCCGAAGCTAGGAATTTCTTCCAGGTGTCTCATGTGAGAGTAGGGGCCTAAGAACTTAGACCAGCCTCAGCTGCTTTCCCAGGCGACAAGTGGGGAGCCAGGACACCAAGCATCACTCCTGTGGGATGTCAGAGCTTCAGGCAGAGAATTAGCCTGCTCCTATGCCATGATGACCCCTTCCTACCTCCTTTTATCCTCTCCCCTCACCTGTCTTTTTGCTTTCTTTCCTTGCTTTTCCCCTTCCTTGTCTTCTGATAGATGAAGAAAAAACATTTGATAAAATTTGGTGCCAATCTGCGATAAAAATTCACAGCAAACTTGGTGCCGAAGGGGACTTTCTCTCTTGGATAAAAGTTGCCTCTTCCATATGCTCAGCAAACACAATACCTAATGATGAAACTTAAATCAGTTTGGAAGCAGAAATTAGACTAGTGTACCCGTTCTGTCAGCTTGTAATTAATAATACATATGTGTTTCTACATAGCGTAATAAGACAAGAAAAATAAAAAGGTCTGTTAAGACCTGGAAAAGTTGAAACAAAACTGCTGTTATCCACAAAATACTGTCTGTGCAGAATGCTTAATGTTTTTGAAAATAAACTTGAGTGTGATGACCTCTTGCACTGTCTTTAAATCACATGGTATGGACGGTGGCTGCACTTGAGACAGCACATCTTGTTCCTGGGCTTAGTGGAGACCTTACCCAGCCTGGGTTTAGTTTGCACTGTTGGAGGCAGACACCCCTCCAAAGCTTATATTTTGTCTTTCTCTGCAAAGCCTAAAGGCATCCCTGGAATTGCCTTTGCTGGTTCTCAGTGGATCTATTTAGCTAGAATCTGGAAACATTTCCCCTGAGGGCTCTCTTTAGACAGCAGCAGAATGTGGCTGGAGACATACTGAGTAAATGGAAAAGAAAAATCAAATTAGGCCAAGAATTTTTTTAAGCTCCTATTCTCACAAAAGCCCTCAGGGAGAATACTATAATTCATGCTTCACTCTTGTGGGTCAGCCATAATGCTTCCCCCATAGATGCAATAACCGGTCTGATTCTGGTATTGCACCTGCACCTGCCTTCATGGCCAGAACATGGCACTGAATCACAGAGCCATGTCTTCTGCTCAGTCACTCGTTGCCTGGGAATGTCAGATCGCCAGGGAGCAGCCCAGTGTTCATCTCCAGTGGGCTGTGCTTGGGGAAAGTGGTTTTAATCGCAACCTATTGTAGCAGCATGGCACTCAGCTGCAAAGGGGCTGGCATCTGCATCTTGTGGCTGTGCAGAAAATGCCTGTCCATCTGGGCCCAGGAAAAAGAGCAGCAGAGTCAGCAGAGCCTCAGAAAAGATGACACAGCAAGTGGCACCGAGCTGAATCCATCCCCCATCCTGCCAAGTGTGCTGTGCTCCCTCCCTGTTTTTAAAGCAAGAGAACCCAATTGTTCTGCCTTCCAGTTCCCTCTTCTGAGACAGAATCTGAAACCCGGTTGCTTTAGCTGTACAAATGAGACCCAGAATCTCTGGGCTCTGAGATCCATGCAGGATTAACTGAGACCAACTGTGGCTCCCCCAGGGAGTCCTCTGCCTCCTCACTTGCTGCAATGCAGTTTGTGCCACCGAAGCTAGTGATATAACAACCCTGGCATTTCTAGCCCAAAGCAGGACCATTTAGTGAAATAAGGGGATGCGCAAGAGGCTGTGTGTGCATGTGTGTGTACACGCGCACATTCAGAACACCAATGATGCAGCTCTGACGTAAAACACATTTAAAAAAAATCCTCCTCTGAGCTCAGATGCTCAGAAGTCAGGCACTGGGCAGGGAGCATTCTGAAGGGCACTGCCATTGGAAGCAGGAGAGCTACCGGACCTTTCGCTTGTCACTGACATCATTGTAATGCCATGCCAGCTCTCCTATCAGAAGATTTAGCCCTTGCGATTTGAAAGTGAACCTTCCCCAGGTTCGAGGGTTTTCTGCTGCCTGTACGTCTAGCATCCTAGGAAGCCAGAGAGCTACCCAGCAGCCTGCAGTCATTCTCCATCTCGGAAAAGTATTTGCTTTGAGAAATCGTGAAGTTGCACCTGTCCATACTCTCGGATTGTTTTTAACTTTTTTTTTTTTTTTAATTTTTTAGCTGGAGCCGGAAAGGTCGGGGCCAGTTTATTTCAAAGAAGTCTTTGGATTTCTGAAGCTGGCAAGGGCATAAAATGACAAGATAACTTGTCAGCAAGACTCCAAGTTCAGGAAGGAATTTTTTTTCCAGGCACTTGCTATGTTCAGAGCACCCCACAGGGGTGTCTTTGAGAAGCTGAAGTTCTGGTGTCAGTCTGGGAACTTGGAAAGCAATGGTTGAGAAGGGAAGATGAGCACCTGCCGGCTGGCTCTGGGAGTGATTGAGGTTTGCCATCACAGTTGGCGACTTGGGCTTTTTCCATCAAAATTTGGTGTTTCCATGTGCTGTCCAGCCACTACTCCAGGTCAGATGGAACTTAGGAAAGCAAGGGTAACTGTTCTCTTTGTCTCCATAAAACGTTTTGTCTGCCATCTCTCCTCCTGCCCCACAGTCTGTCCTCCTGTCGTTTGTGTAATTCTCCTCGACAAAGTCCTTTGCTTCCCCTCCCATTCATCAGCCTGGTCGGGAATGAGTCGCTGATTTGCAAATAATGAGCTGTGGGAAGGAGATCTGCAAAACTTGCAGTTATAAATAGTGCAGATGGCAACGTCCATGGAGGGGTTTTCTCTCCATACATCTTCTTTCGCTGTTGAGTTGCTGATTGTAAGTGTGAATATGTGTATTCCAGGTGCACAATAGTTGCAGAGATGCTTTCTTAAAAAACACTGTGATTTTTAAAAAATGAGTAAACTACCTCTGTGCTTTAGAAATGGCATTACATAAAAGAAGAGTGGCTTTAGGCAAGCTGGTGCGAAGGTTCTCAAAAAGATGAAACCAGAAGTGATCAGACTGACAAGGTCATTGCAAGGGAAATCAGAGATTGCTTTTCTCTACAGAAGCGATGGAGAGAATGATTTTACAAAGTGGAAGCTTCTGAATTTGAACCTGGCAGATCTGGGGCGGGGTGGGGGTGAGGAATAAAGATCAGATCGTTGCCCCTTGCCTATTCTCTCAGAAGCAGCCCCTGCCATGTCCCCCTCCCTGGCTACTAAACTCAGCTCATCTCCCAGAGCTGGAGTGAGACCCAGCACTGTTTACATTCCATTTACTGATGTGCAGCCAGCAGCTTATGCAATTGGACACAAATATATGATGCAGTTGTGTTGTCTCCAAAATTGATCTTGATATTTTTTTTTAACTCTGCAGGAGCCCAGTAATAAAAGGGTCAAACCCCTTTCCAGAGTCACATCTCTAGCAAACCTCATTCCTCCTGTGAAGACCACGCCGTTAAAGCGTTTCAGTCAAACCCTGCAGGTAAGAAGGGAGTGGTGGATCCCTAGTGACAGAAAAATCTCTGTCCTCTCCACCAGCACTTCCCCTGGTTTCAGCTTAACCTGCACCCATGGGACTGATAGCAGGACAGAGGGGTTTTTAGCTTGCAGCCTGGGGTTGGGTGGAATCAGTACCATTTCTGTCGCTTGTGCCCCACACTTGTATTCCTGAGTCATGTCTCCCAGCCAGATCTGTTCTCCCAGATTTTTTTTTTTCCTTACTCAGATGTCTATGGGAATCCCAAGGGATGGGAACTGGAGGGCAGTAGATAGCCCTAGGGATTTCAGTCAGGGCCAGCAAACTGCACATGTTCAAGAAAGTCAGTTAGCCACCTGTTTTGTTCTGATCCATCTGCTGAGAGTGGTCTTTATTTTCAAAAATGCTTCTGGAGTAGGAAAATAATTTACAAAATCAGAGTGAGATTTATGACATGTGAAAATGGCACCAAATTCGAACTTCCCTGTCCATCACAACAGTTGTACGGGATCACCAGAGCCATGTCCCCCTGTGTGTGCATTATCTGTGGCTGGTTTTATACAACAGTGGTGGAGCTGTATAACTGTGCCAGAGACCACCAGCACTGCGGAGTCTGAGGCATTTGCTCTCTGCCCCGCTTCTGGAAAATGTTTGCCCACTCCTGTGCTAGGACAAGAACTCTGGAGTAGAAGGGCCTTCTTGTGACCTCAACTCTGAACTTCTGACGTGTTCACCTTGTACAGCACCTTAGCTTCTCTAGACTTTGCTTTTATCCCTCTTGGGTATATTTGGCATGATACCAGCTGCTGTTTCATAGAGTCACTGTCAAGATTTACAGGACAGTGTGTTTAAAGGCCCTGCTGCACCCCGTTGGCCTTAGTGAACCATCATTTACATCCTAATTAGTTAGCCAAGTAGTAAACATCGTCTACTATAATTAATATATATATATATATATATATATATATTTAGTTTACAAGTGATTACAAGCTATTCTTTTTTCTGAAACTTTCATGAAGGTTTTCTTTTAGAGTAAGGACTGAGCTATCTAGGGCCTTGGGCCCAATTTAATCATCAACTGAAGCCCTCAAAAGCCATGCTGTGATAATACCGTCTCTTGATTTAGTTGAACAACAACTTTGCGTCTGTCCCTTCATATTTGTCTTGAATACTTGGACTTGACATTATTGTCTTTATCCTTGTTTGCCAAATGTTGAAGAAAACCATGGCGTGTCCCAAGCCATGAATGTCTGTGACTTAAGAACTATTTGGATTCTCCTTTGGCTCTTTCTGCCCTTGCCTCCTATCCATTGGGCCACTCCGCCATGGCTGCAGTAACGACGGGCGTTCTTGTCACTCCCTCGCGTCCCTCTGCAATGCTCATCTCCTGGCCATTCCTTTCATCGGGTAGTTCTCCTGGGTTTCACCAGAATGAACACCTCTTCACTCAGTGCACTGTAGGTTTGGCTCTAGTCCTTTCAGGGCTTGGGCTTCTGAGTTTCTGGTTATCCTCTGCTCCTTTTTGTGGAAGAACAGAAGAGAGAGAAGTGTGGTCATTTGGAGGAGCCCCAAGAAGGGCTTCGGATCTTGGAAGAAAAAATGCCTTTACCCCCTCTCCCTCGTGACTAGTCCTTCGGCCCTCCAGGCTGGTTCATCACGTGCTTTCCCTGGAAGATCCATCACTGCCCTCCTGCACATCTGCTCTTTCACTGAGTTTGGTATTTTGGAAACTCTTTAGCTTGTCGACTACAGCTCACTCTTTTCCCTCCCCATCTCCTTGACCATGGCGCAAGTTCACTCTGATTGCCTCCTCGGTAGATTTAGGGTACCTTCCCACCCTACCAGCCATCTCTTTTTGTTGCTTCTCCTGGGACAGTCCATCCTCTTCCTCTCTCACTCACCTGCCCTTGTGTTGCCACACTCTGGACAGAGTTACCTTCTGGTCATTTTGTGACAGAGCTGAGCTTGAGTTCGCACAAAGCGATAATATGCTGACCTGAGTAGCTGGCTAATTGTTACCCCATCACTCCCAGTTTTGCTGCAGACACCCGGCCCCTACACTCTCTGTCAAGCCTAACCTATAGACTTTTGTAATTATGCTCCTAGGTCCAGGAAGAGTTGGCAGCTAGCATTGCCCATACCTCCCTCAGCCCTGCACAGAGGCCTTTCCCTCTAATACTCTTCTGATAGTCCCTCTAATAACAAAGCTTGCTTGGAGCTGCCCAGGTTACCTTTCTTTTCTCTCATTTCTGGAATCCTGCACTGGGGACACTACAGGAGATAGCTGCTCACCTTGGAAATCTGCATTGACCTTAAAGAACTAGGACAGATAGAAGCCAAGCTGTATCTGAAATCCAGCAGACCAAGGCTGGGCAATGATGAGAAAACCAGGCTCCAGAGAGGGTCAGGCATGTGGAAGTTGGGTTCTGAAACCTCAGAGTTTTTTCTTTTAAATAATCTTTGAATTTGCTTTTTTCAAGTTTCATGAGAAATAACCCCAGCTGGTTCCATGTTTTGGATAGTCACAGTTGCTCAAGGTGATTGAGCACACAGATACGGAGTGCACTTGAACTATGTGCTTATGCTTGAATGGGTCCTTGTGGGGTCTGTGATTGGAAATATGTCCCAGAGGTTGTACACAGTTTGATGGCTATGATTTTAGGATGGTGTGCAAAGCATGGAGAATGCCATCTTGCCCCACCCCCATGGCTGTCTCCCTGGATTTGATGTTGGTGTATACAATATAAGTTGCATGACGTTGTTTCTAGTCCTAGCAGGCATAATTAGTAACATCACAAATAGCTCCCATCAACAGCTAACCAAGAGAGGATGTTCGTATAGACTGAAAAGCAGGGAAGATGCAAAACAGGCCCCTGTGAGGTGCTCAGTGGGCCAACTTCTCATCCTTTCCCATTTTATCTTGACCTTTGTGCCTGTTCTCACAGCAGAGAACAAGGGACATATATACAGGCTGTCCCAAACTTTTTGGTTATTCATGTCTTACTCATATGCCTTTTCTGTGACTCCAGGCAATCTTTGAGCAGCTTGGTCCTCTGTAACTGTATCCCATTTCCTTGGCTCATACCCTTTTAGAAATGTGTGCCTTTGGGATATTCAGTGATATCTCTCAGGTTGGCTTCCTTTCCTTGATGAAAAAGAGATGACCCTGGTGCAAGCACGATGCTTTCCCCAGTGCTGGGACATTTAGCATTCTGTCTTCAGGCTCCCTGGGAGGCCATAGGCTCACCCAGGAGAATGCCAGGACTGCTCAGTTCTGACAAGAAAGATTAAAAGCCTAGTGACCACTGTAAGTAGTCCCTGCAGCCACAGTCCAGCATGACACCACACAATTTGTTCTCTCTCCTCCCCATACTTGTTGGGGCCTGGGGCCTCAGCAGAAAGGCAGGATTTGTGGGTGTCAGGAACAGACAGCCCAACTGCACGGCACTCTGTCTCTCACCAGGAAGGTTAACCTCGCTGGTATATTCGAGCACAGATGTCTACATCCCTCCTGGCCTGTAAAGTCCTCCCAAACCAAAGAAGTCTGGCCTGGCTCTGAAAAGGGCCTGCATGTGGAGCAAGAAAGGCAAGTTTGCCTCTAGCAAGCCATGACCCTGTTTGCAGCTGTGTGGGGCTGTCATGTGAGCCGAGTCCGGCACATGATGTGAAACCCTGCAGTTGCCTTGCTGTGATATGGCCTCCTCATTCTCTTGGGATATGAATTTACTCTTTTCCATTATGAAAATGTGTGTGCATTATGGAAAAGTACAGGAAAGGAGTAGACAAAAGAACGCATATAACCTCCCATTCCAAAATAAGCCCTGTAAAGTCTAGTATTGATGGTGTAATACTTTCCTTCCACTGTTATTCTAACTATAAGTATGTAACTTACATGCCCTGAGCCTAACTTGGGTTGTTTTACTTTTGCTCTGAGAGATCTGTTCATGGTGACTAAGGATGGCCAGTGTCTCTTGCAGCTTTATTGGTCTTGACCTTACCTGTTTCCAAACTATGCAGTGCAGTGCGTGTGTGCTCATCTTAGTCCTTGATCAAGTTTGAGAGAGCTGCACCTTTTATCAAAGCTAAACATCACCATTTCTTTGAAATTCATCTTGCTTAGATTTCGGTTTTGGCTTTTGTTGTTGCTCTTTGCAGTTTTCTTAGTGTGTTCTCGTCATCCCTTTGTGATTTTGCTAAATGAGAAAGCCTCATCAGTTTGAGGGAGGTATTACAGTTATTCCTGGAAGATACGATCTTCATGGTTGGACTATAGATTGTGTATTATTTCAGTGTGTTGATGTGATTTACTCTGTGTAAACTGTCTTATTCATGGACATTTGGCCATGTACTTTTTAATTTATTCATATCAACAGCTTTGGTTAAATGTCTCGTGAAGGCCTTTGTCCTATTTTAAAATACCACTATTGTGCTTTCTTTTATGATTATTTAATATCATTAAAACATTGGAAAAGCGTGAAGTGCAGAAAAAAGATTAAAAGGCAAATGTAATCCCACCTCCCCACCACCAAAAAAGGAAAACATTTTTTTTTAAAGTTTATTTTTATTTGAGAGGCAGAGTTAGAGAGAAGGATGGAGGAAAGGAGAAGAAACAGACAGAAAGACAGAGAGATATCTTTCGTCTTCTAGTTCTTTCCCCAGATGGCTGTGAAGGCGCTTTAAAGCTGGGCCGGTTCAGAACCAGGAGCTTCTCACTTGGAGTTCATCGCTCTGGTCAAGTCTTCCATCCTCCAAGATGCTAAGTCCAATGTGTTCGAATCCCAGGCACAGCCACTGTAGGTTTGGTTTAACCCAGGGTGGCAGTGACATGGAAATATATTTTCTTCTTCAACCTTACCTTCATCAGTTTAATACAGAAATCATCTGCTACAAAATCCCCATCAAGTCAGGATAAGTCAAGTTGTGAGGACATTTTCCTGGTTTAACCTCCCTTGATGGGAACCTGTTAGTTTTGGCCCTGGAGACCTTCTGTTTTTGGAAAAGTGTGA